GATTCTTATAGGAGACCGACTTCGTATAGCCACTTAGAAATGTTTTTGTAATCCAACTTTTTAAGACACAGGACAGTCGGTCTGACCATTCCAGATCTTGCAGAACAGTGTTTCTGATCTACTGACAAGATGCGGAGCAAGAATACATTTTTGAAGACACTTCCAAAGCTTTAGTGAGCTAAACTGCAACAGTATCTGCTAAACTGTAGTTCCACTGTGCTTGGGACACTTGTTGCCTACGTCCCCTCCATTTCATTTAGGTTTTTGAAGATCGATAGCACAAGCAATCTACCTTGCCAGCTCATTTTAACGTCGCCCAGCAACGGATAAGATGCCTGTGATTTGGACGTCATATGAATCTTTGAGGAAATTAAACGAAAATACGGCTGACTTTCCCTTGTGTGGATATAATAAACATCCCACATAATAGGCCCCTTCAAAGTTGTGCATGCCATGTCTTGACCCGACTAAGGTAGCTGATGTGTAACCTACGCAACATCATTTCGTAGCCCAAGTCACGCAAGAAACTGACACGGTGTCTATTTTTTAAACAACCTCATTTCATCCGTATCCAACTGCGTACAAACGTTGTCCTACTCCATAATTCCGTTTATCATAATTTAAGTGGAGTTACAAATCACAGACCCTGCATTTATTAGAGTGTGCATTCGGTATCCTACGTGCTTACCCAAAACTACGGTTCTTTTCATGCCTACAGATATCTTTGTACATATTGGCTTTAATTAACGAACGCTCACCGGTTGCTAACGTACCTCACTTGTGCTGCTCTGCCTTGGGGTTAACTCTCAGGCCCGGCTAGTAGCCGCGCATCGGCTAGTAGTGTAGACATATTAACATTTTCGGCAGACACAAGGGAAACTGGAATGGCAATTTGTGGTTCTTCAGCGGTAATCAGCCAGTCGTACCCGACTCCATGTGGGGTACCCCTGGGGGCTCGAACCACCTACCTATAGATCAAAAGTTCAACAGTCTTACCATTAAGCCACGTACTCGTTGTCTTGTCAGTTTAAATCAGCAGTATTGACATTCATTGATGAGCACTCACCAATCGCTAACGAACTTACTCGTCCCGCTCTGATTTCTTCTGTTTTGCCGTTTACAGGCGAAGGTCATTTTTCCCGAGTGTTTTAATGCTCCTCGTTCTAGAGTTGCCCCTGCTTTTTGCATGTTTCTTGATTCCCCACCAAACCAGTAAAGCACATCGACTGTATCCCTACCGAGTCCTCATCTTTTCTACTTTTTTGTGTGTTTCTTTTTAGTGTGCTGTGTATCTACGTCAAAAATGATCTCCCACCGTGTCGGACAATGGTAGGCCCCCCCTTTCGACCATTTCTCATACCGGTTCTTTAGCCTTCAAAGGTTGCAGGGCATTCGCCGCCTTCCTGTAAGTTTTAGCTCCCCTTTTCAATAACCGTGTGCGTTTTTTGACCAGCTGGTCTCTGTGTCCCGCATGATGAGCAAAGAATGTGGCATAACAAACATTCAAGACGAGGAGGACTATCAGAAGCGCGTACTGGAGAACGTTAAACCCGTCGTTGTTGACTTTCACGCTTCATGGTATGTATTGGGTGGTTGTGTGAAACAGTGCATGGAATCACTTACTAACTTGCTACACTCCTAGGTGTGGTCCCTGCAAAATGCTTGGTCCTCGATTAGACAAGGTGATGGAGAAGTACATGGACAAGGTGCTGCTGGCGAAGGTCGACATCGATAAGCTTGAAACCGTGTCTATGAATAATGGGGTGAGTTATGCGAAGGGCAATTGGACTAAGTCTTTAGTGCACATGCTTGCAAATTTGTTCCTATGTTTGTTTATAAGCATATCCTATCGTTAAATAACCTTTTACTAGTCTTGTACCAGAGCATGATGCTTAATTAATCTTCTATGATGGAGTAGTATAGGTGATGACTTTATGTTTCTTCTCAACAATGTCTTCAAATGCAACAAAAAGTAGTTCCTGCTGTGCACTACGTGATCCGGGACGTTTGCTCCTGCAAGTGCCTCCTTCATTTGCTATGCATCGAACAAGTGGCTACCCCCCCCCAAAAATACACAAAGGG